AAAATTTAAGGTGGATGTGTACTTTGTGACAGCAATGACATCTCTAAAAAGGGAGCACATAGAAGTGCTCAGGTGTAAGTGGATGCTTCATCATCATAAAAACTGGAGACTCCCTAAGTGTCCATCAGACAGGGATTTAAATTACCTGTGGCCCCTTAACACTGCAGAAAACCATGTTTGTGGTTAGAAAGAACGGCAGACCAATGACTCCTGTCCTGAGCGGTCCCTGTGCCCTCTTCACCCAGGCTCCCTGCCCACACACCCTAATGTGACACGTGCTGGTGGGATGGCGGCCTGGTGGGCCGCCTGAGCTCAAAGTTCCCTGGACAGATGCCTGGGGGACATGACCTCTATCCGAAGCAACAGTGCAAAATTCCACCAGCCACTGAGCCTTTCTGGGACAGACTTCCACAGGCCAGCCTGCACACAAAGAGAACCTACAGTTTACACGAGAACTACTTCTATAAATAAAGACTGGGTGGAGGTGGGGTGTGGCTATGACTTGGGGAACCACAGAGACATTAGAAAGTTTCTCACATACTTGGGGAGACTACGATTCTTCACAAAATTAAACCTGGTGAGATGGGGACTTGGTGTTCAGTGGAGACAGTTTCAGTTCTGCGAGATGAAAGTGTTCTGTGGGTGAACGGCAGGGGCGGCCGCACAGCTGTGTGGACACACTTAGCACCTGAAAATGGTTACGACGGTATTATGCTACCTGTATTTTACTGTGAATAAAAAACTAAAACTAAGGCAATATGAGAAGGGGGCACCTGGGTGGCTCAGTTGGTTAAGCTTCAGACTTCTGCTCAGGTCGTGATCTCACTGCTTGTGAGTTTGAGCCCCACATCGGGCTCTGTGCTGACAGCTCAGAACCTGGAGCTGCTTCGGATTCTGTGTCTCCCTCTCTCTCTGCCCCTCCCCTGTTCGCGTTCTCTCTGTCTCTCAAAAATAAACATTTTTAAAAAAAAAGTAACATTTAAAAAAAACCAACACACATTATGAGAAATGAAATATTGCCTTAGTTTTAGTTTTTTATTCTCAGTAAAATACAGGCAGCATAATACCGTCGTAACCATTTTCAGGTGCTAAGTGTGTCCACACAGCTGTGCGGCCGCCCCTGCCGTTCACCCACAGAACACTTTCATCTCGCAGAACTGAAACTGTCTCCACTGAACACCAAGTCCCCATCTCACCAGGTTTAATTTTGTGAAGAATCGTAGTCTCCCCAAGTATGTGAGAAACTTTCTAACGTCTCTGGTTCCCCAAATCATAGCCACACCCCACCTCCACCCAGTCTTTATTTATAGAAGTAGTTCTCTACAAAGAACGGGCCTCTGAGGAGTTCCCGGGTGCTGGTCGTCTTGCTGCTGGTGGCAGCTCAGGAGAGGAGGTGGAAGTTACTCGGTTTGACACCTGGGGAAGCCGGTGCACAACCCTGCTGCAGACCAATAGCTGTCCTGGCCCCAACCGCCAGCCGCACCCCCTTTCACATAAGTCCTTGTGATCGGGGACACTCTCGTTAGAGTTTATACGCAGCCAAACCAACCCCGGACAGTGCACTCCTGTTACCGGAGGTGAGCACGCGTGTTCCGGGCAGCTCCTGGCAGAGAGCTTTGCCAAGCGGCCCTAGTGAAAACCGAGCACACAGCACCACCGGGGGGCCTTGCTACCCTGAAGACCTAACAAAGGAAAACAAGGCTTCCCCGAGGGGACGTGAACCCCAGAGACCCCTTCATCAGGGTTCTCGAAGGGGAAGGTGTGTGTGTGACGCCCCAGCACTAGAGGTAATAAAACCAAGCCCCCCCCCACCCCCCGCAAGTGGCTTGCTGTTCTTCAGCCCCTTGGGAAGTCAGCTTGTGGGCATGAGAGCCAGGGAGCAGGTGCGAATCCCCCTGCTCCCTCTGGCCAGCGGCAGACTGCCTCAGCTGTCTGGGGAGGCGAGGGCCACGCGCCACACAGGGTGAAGAGCAGAGGAAGGTGTGCCTTTGCTCCTGGTGGTCGAAAGGATGGCTTATTCCTTGGACACAGGAGACAAAAGAATCCTTAGCCATCCCCGCTGAAAAGAGCGTTACAACTACAGACCCCACAGGCATGCGGGACAGAACAATTCAAGCGGCCAACCCTCCTCTTTCCTTTCTGCCATCAGAAACTCTTAGCCTGGAAAGCTAACGTTTATCGCTTACTTACCGACTCATCTGTGAACTTACATCGATGCTCAATGGTGTCGAGGAGGAAGAATAATTTTCCTTTACCCTCTGAGTTCCTGGCTGAGACCCTCCCCTGTAACTAAAGACAGATTAAACCAGGTTTATTCATATGTGAACCTCAGGTACACACGAGAGGGACCCAGCTCCCCAGATGGCCACGCCACCTCGTAAAATACCATCAAAGAAGACGCTGGGCGGGGAGGCCAGTTGTGGGGGACCCAACACATGTGGGCAGGCAAACAGGGCTTGAAGTCAGTGCCTTCCCCCCAAAAGACTCTGCTGCGGTTTGGACTCATCCTCTCCCTGGTACAGAGAGAGGGCTGGACAGTGGCGATTTCCTTTACAAAAGGCAAATGTCCCCTGCAAAGGGGACTCCCAGCTCCTCCTGCCTCTGCTGTTTCTCAAAATCTTTCTTGTGTCAAAAAGGCATCTTTTGGGGTGATGTATTCTGCTACCCTTCAGCAAGCTCTAATATCTAGAATAATCCTGGTATTTCCCCCCTAAATACATTCGCTATCACCTAGGGGGGAAATAAAATCTAGATGCTTGTCTGTGTTAAATAACAACAAATTCAGCTGAGTAATTTAAAAGATCAAATTGGCTTTATGGAAATTCATGGATCCACAACACTCCCCCCAGCAAGTGGAGGGGAGCTCTGCAGGGCTGCAGAAGAGAAAAGGTTTTCAACAAGGCGGGGAGGGAGTGGAAGAAAGGAAATGATTATCGAAGAATGCATTGGGCAGGGCCCCCCTTCTAGGGGAGCAGAAGGGGTCTCTCAGCGGACTTCTAGTGCTGGCTGGTGGAACATGGCCACTGGTTGAAGGTGACACTTCTGGAGGCTGGGAAGTGCAGCCAGGTTAGATAGTAAGTCTCGGTGTGCTGAGGGGCCCTTGATATAGTGACTCCATTCTGGGCCTGCGGTTTTCTTTTTAACAAGTGTGTTTTGTTTTGTTGGGTTTTTAACCGACCTGGTATTTATAGTTCCGTTTCCTCAGTGAATAAAGGCTGTGGTTTTAAGGTCACTGACACCTCCCTGCCCCCACCCCATACACCAGCTTGTCCCTTCTCTCTTAATTTTCCTTGACAGCTGGGCCCCTGCTTTTTCTTTTTCTAAGTTTATTTATTTTAAGATGAGACACAGCACAAGTCAGAGAGGGGCAGAGAGAGAGAGAATCCCAAGCAGTCTCTGCACTGTCAGTGCAGATCCCAATGCAGGACTTGAGGTCACAAATGGTGAATTAATGACCCGAGCTGAAATTGAGAGTCAGACACTTAACCCACTGAGCCACCCCAGCGCTCCTGGGCCCTTGCTTCAAAGCTCCAGGTCAAGAAGAAATCACACTCTAGAAAGATCTAAAATGTTAGTTTACAATTTTGTACATTTTCCATTTGGTTTAACAGAGAACTTTTAAAGCCATAATATGAACTGTGGTGGTTTCTCCGCCTAGACCCCAGGACCTGGCCTCTGCTCACCGGCCTGGCCCCACCCACCTGCATCCCTCATTTTCCCTTAAACTCTTCTGCCCAGCTGATCCCTTACCGCAGGGGACCCAAGGGGCATAGCGCTGCATGGAAACTGAAACCATCTGCAAGCACTAGCACCTGCCCAGACCACCCAGACCATTGTGAGCTGTGAGCAGGGTCCCCACCTGCTGTCTGCGCAGAAGGGCCCTTCAGTGACCCATGAGTGACCGACAGTTCTCTTTACCTCATTGTAACCTGAAAGTCTCCACCCGCGGGAAAAGCACTAGACTCATTTACATGTATAGGCGTGTTTCTTTAAGACTCAGGCGTGACCTTATGCCAGCTTCTGCGTTCAGCGACCAGGCTCCCCTACCTAAATATATCCTAACCCTAAACAAAAGGAACCCATCCACCCTTGCTCTGGAGTCACGGCTTTAGGAGCTATTTTCCACGAGCTCCTCATTTGCTGCAAATAAAGTTCCCGGTGCGAAGGCTCACCTGGTGTACTTTCCATCTGTGACTCACCAAGGAGTGTACGCATGCTGGCTCGGTTACACTGCATTATAGATTCCCCTTTCCTGTATATATCTTACTTGGTATCCAGAATATTCTAGCTGTAGAGATCACACGTTCCCTGCACAGGGTGCCTAGGAATATGATGCTCCGGTTGGTCCAGGGGCCGTCTGTGTACTTTGCAGAGGTGAAAACAAAGTCCAGTGTGTGCTTCAGCCTCCCAAGTAGAGCCTGGCTACTAAACTGATTTATCTCCTTAAAGGAGTGATAGTCCTGATGGCGAATTGTACAAGTGACAGCGAGATATTCCTACTGGATTTGTGTTTTGTTCACCAATCAATCTAGCTCTGATTTCCTCCTCCGCTGTCTCTTTGCAGAAGATTTTGTACAACTAACTAACTAACTAACTAACTAAAGGGAAGCAGCTGAGCACACTCCAGTCTTTTTTTTTTTTTTTTAATGTTTTATTTATTTCTAGGAGAGAGAGAGACAGCGCGAGCAGGGGAGGGTCAGAGAGAGAGGGAGTCACAGACTGAAACAGGCTCCAGGCTCCGAGCTGGCAGTCAGCACAGAGCCCGACGCGGGGCTCGAACCCACGAACCGTGAGATCATGACCTAAGCGAAAGTCGGACGCTTAACCGACTAAGCCACCCAGGCGCCCCGAGCACACTCCAGTCTTAACCAAGCAAGGAGGCCGAGGTGGAGGAGCCCGGGGCGAGCTGTGTGGACGTGCCCACGACACCAGGGGCCAATGGACAGACACGCATTCCCACTCAGCTCTCAGAAAGAAGCGAATTCTTCCCTGCCGACCACTGCGGGTCTCCTGAGCGCCGCTCGGCCTGCACCAAAGGAGGAAGGAATTTGGGGTGAAGCCCTCCTTCCTGCCTAGCACAGACGGGTCACTCCTAGGAACGAAACAAGAAGAAACAATTAGGCGACTTTTGTTTCCTTCCCCAACAAGCTCAAGGAAAGTGGCATTTGATCAGACGGTGAGGAACTATTTATCGAAGACTGTAGGGCAGAGGGCAGGGCTCGGCAGGGGTGCGGCAGGGACGCGGGCGGGGGCGGGGGGGGTCTGGGCCACGCGGGGGGGGGACCATCTACCGGCGCCAGCCAGGTGGGGGTTCCGGCGAAACCGGCCCGACAGGATGCCCGCCGCAGGCGGGGGGTGGCCTGACGTCGGGCGGGGTGAGGGTCCGCTCTCAGCGCGCGGGAATCCGGGCTAAGCGGACTCGGCAGGATTCTTTGCTGAGATGGTCCTGGCTCGTCGGGGGCGGAGCGAGGAGCCTGTCAAGTGCGGCACCGCGAGTCTCCGCGAAGCCGCAGATTGAAACCTGCAGACCCCGCGTGCGCGAGGTTTCGGACGCGGGGCAGGCGGAGACCCGCGTGTTCCCTCCATCTCGGCCCCGAGATGTGAGACGGCAAGGGCTTGCGGCCGCAGTTACCCCGGAGCGCCCCGAAACCTGCTCCAGGGGGCAGCCAGCCCGAGAGGTGCAAGGAGCGAGGAGTGGGGGCCAGGGGGACGCACACGCTCGTTCTCGGTTCCACCTGCCGGACATGCGCTCGGTCCCACCGGGTCCCGTCCCCACGGGTCCCGCCGCGCGGCCTGAGCCCCGGGACGCGCGCCCCGTCCCCAGGGGTCCCGCCCGGCGGCCTGCGCGCTGGGACGTGTCTCTTGTCCTCCAGCATTCACTGGGCACCCGCTCTGAGCCGGGTCTGGAGTCCGCGCTGGCGGAACCCCGCGCCTGGGAGGGGGGCAGGGCGCTGGAGGAGCAGGTGCGGGAAGGGAGGGAGGAGGAAGCCTGGAGCGGACCCCCTCCCTCTCGGACCCCCTCCTCCTTCCTGACCGCGGGACGAAGCCTCTTGCTACGGTGTTCGGCCCGGTCGGCTGCCAGCGCCTGGGGCCCCGCCGACGCCCCATGCTCAGCAACAGAAGTTTGGTTTGGTGACTGAATAAACGTTTCCTGCTCTCTGATGTGCAAGGAGGCCCCACTTTGTGACGCCACGAGCTGCCCGCCCGCCGGCCGTGCCGCCTCCTCCCTGCCGCGGCCCTCCCGCATCCCGGGCCCCCCGACGACGACGAGGGGGCCCGGCCCCACTGGGAGCTAAGCCTTAGCTCGGCGGGGCAGGAGCGCTGCCTTCGCGGTCCGCGGTGGGCTCCCTGCTGGGCGGGCGCTCGAAGGGCGGTCGCCGCGGGGCTTGCGCGTCGTCCTGACGGCAGCCCACCTGTGGGGAGGGGACGGGGCTCGGGGACAGGTGTCTCCGCTCCCACGGCGCAGCTTTGTCATGTAGAAGCTCCCCCGGATGTCTCAGGAGACACCTTCGCGAATGCGGATTTACCTCCAGCTTTGACGCAGGCAGGGGAGTGGGGGGGAGGGAGGGGAAGGGCGGGGAGCCCGCTTTGGCCTCTGCTGTTTCTCACTTGTCTTCAGCTCAAAACAATCCTTGTGCCAAAGTGGCCTGTTTTAGGGTGGTGAGTTCTGATTCCCTACAGCCCTTAATAACCCCTGTTGGCGGACAGTCGTGGTGACGGTGTGTATGACACTAGCACAGCAGCGTTTAAAAGTCCAGCTCTGTCCCTCCCAGCTGACGAGCTGTGGACAAGCTCCTTACTCTCTCCAGGCCTCAGTTCGCTCATTGTCCAGACAAGAGGTAATAATCGTCCTCACCTCCTAAGGGTGTTTGTAAAAACAAAATGAGTTAGCAATATGAAGTAGTTAGCATGTCACCCAGTACGTAGTAAGCTCCCCATAAACGCCAGCTTTTTAATTCCTTAGCCAGAAAAAGAGTTCAGCAATAATCTGCAGACACAGGAACCCTGTGAATTTTGGGGTGAGTGTATTCCTTTAAAGGACTATATTCGGATAAGGAAATTTCAGTCTCGGGGCACCTGGGTAGCTCGGTCCCTTAAGCGTCTCACTTTGGCTCAGGTCATGATCTCGTGGATTGTGGGTTTGAGCCCCGTGTAGGGCTCTGTGCTGACATCTCAGAGCCTGGAGCCTGCTTGGGATTCTGTGTCTCCCTCTCTCTCTGCTCCTCCCCTGCTCGCACTCTCTCTCTCAAAAATAAATAAACATTAAAAGTAAAAATAAAAGGAAAGTTCGATCTTGCTGAAAGAAGCAAGAAAACTTCATTCAGTCCCAGACAGAAAGCCGAGGGTGAAGAAAATACTGCACAAACATAATATAGAAGAAAGGGTGAGGAGCAAGAAAAGAACTTAGAAAAACTTCCGGTAGGACTTATTTCATTTTAAATGAAACACTACAGACAGTTGCTGTTTAGGCTAAGAATATCAGGAGATCACTGAATGGCATCTCCGAGGGGCACCCCGTAAATTACATACCTTCTATTCATTGGGGCTCTGAACACCTTGAGAAATAGAACAAAAAAGGTAGTAAATAATGATATGGAAATGTTGGGGTTCATAGCGAATGGTAAAGAAAGAATTATTGAGATCTCTTCAGTGCAAAAATGCGGTTTTATTAAAGCACGGGGACAGGACCGTGGGCAGAAAGCTGCACTGGGATTGTGAGGGGAACTAATTATACGCCCTCAGGTTGGGAGGGGGTTAGGGACAGTGTAAGTCTCTAAGGAATTTTGGAAGGCAGGTTTCCAGGACCTTGAGGGGCCCGCTTTTGTTAGGAAAAGGTCATTGGTTACTGTTTTGTAAAAACTCAGTCACGAGATCGGATTTACATCAGACTGCCCCACGCTTGGAGGACAACTGCCTACATGTAGCCTGGAGGCAAAGATAAAAGAACTTTCCAAAGGAATTTTTATATGTTGAAGTGGGCTTGCAGGCTCCGGGAGGTCAGGATAATGTCAGGCTGAGGTTGCCTTTCGGCCTCGGCAAAGCGTCACCATCCAGGCAGCTGAGCTCCTGGAGGAAGGTTACGGCCTGTCCCAAGGACTTGAAATTTATTTTTTTCCTCTTGCCTTTGTTTCCCACATCAGCTAGCACTACTGTTTAGTGCTCCTGGGAGAAATGTCCCTTTCTCCCTGCAAGACACTTGCCTGCTCATCCATTTTAATGTAAGGGGTAGTTTGTAAGGAAATTTTGGAAGAAGCTCGTGTTTAGAGAATATAGCCTGCATTCCAGAGAATGGAATATTATTGGGTGCAGAGAAGACAATAGCCGCAGCCCCATCCGGTGGGGATGTTGATGGCGGGGAAGCTGCCTGGGCGAGGGGCTTGTGGAAATCTCTGTACCTTACTCCCCATTTTGTTGTGAACCCACAACTGCTCTAAAATAAAGTCTGCTTTTATAAAATATACCAAAGATGTAAAAGGATAAACTTTATGGCAAAGAGATCGGCACGTAGTTGTAATGAAATTACTTCCTTACAATAAAATAATCAAATAGCATTTTAAAAAATAGCTGGTGCCAGTGATAGTGCCAACAAGATGCGTTTGTACCAGAAATATATTTATTTGGAAGGTAGTGAGTGTATATGGGAAGATGGACTTGCTGAACCTATTGTAATCATTTCATAAAACATGTGAATCAGGGGGCACCTGGGGGACTCAGTCGGTTAAGCGTCTGACTCGATCTTGGCTCAGGTCATGATCTTAGGGTTTGTGAGTTACAGCCCAACATCGGGCTCTGTGCTGACAGCGTGGAGCCTGCTTGGGATTCTCTCTCTCTCTCTGCTGCTCCCCTGCTTGAGTGCACTTGCTCGCTCGCTCTCTTTCTGTCTCAAAATTAATACATAAACATTAAAAAATAGAAAAGAGTATTGTTGTCAAATAAGCACTAACCCCAATGCGATGACCACACAGACAGGCCACTGAAAGCACCTCACCTCGAAGGCAGAAGGAAGCTGCACTCAGATCCCACCGGGAGATCACGACCTGAGCCAAAACCAAGAGTCCGACGCTAAAGCAACTGAGCCACCCAGGCACCCCACAAAACTGTTTTCTTTCTCTCCGACCTTATGGAGGTTTTCTGGGGTGCGAGACAATTTTGTTCCCAATAATATCTCCTGACCACGGGGAGGAGCAACGCCCAGCACACCTGCCCCAGAACACTGCATGGGGGGCAAACACCCCCCCCAGGGCACCTCCCCATCCCAGCGGCAGGGTGCTCCAGGGGGAGCCCAGGCCAATTACCAGCAATCAGAATTTGTGGGCTAGGACTGGGAAATCAACAAGTTTTGTTTTGTTTTTCACTTCCCAGGAGATTCCAGAGTGCAGCACCGCTGAGACTTCCGCTCTGGGAGACCAAACAAACCCAATTCTCGCTGGAATTGGAGCCTTCAGCAGAGAAACAAGGGAGCCAGGTCCCTAGGCTGCCTCCCATTTGGGGAATCATAAGTTGCCATTAATTTAATTTCACATAACTTAGCTCACAATGAAAAATCCAAGACAGCTACCATAAGAAAGCGTATGGGAAGATGAAATTTCCTGAAAAGAAAGCGGCCAAAGACAGATGCCACAGATGAGCAGGAGAAAAGCAGACAGATGGAGTTTCTGGAAGCTCTACATGACACGGGAGCCTGCGTAAGGAGGTGAAGACCCACGGAAATTGTTAAGCCCAAGTGTTTGTGTGTGAGGTTTGGTGAAGAGTGGACAGTCGTGGGGCCACAGGACAGGACGAGGGTGGGAGGTTGGTGTAGTAAACCAGGACAAAATCAAGGTCTGTTCATTCAGATTCTTCTCAGCGTCCCTCCTCAGGGCGCACCACTCACCTGAGGGTCTTCTGCAGGCTTCAGGGGGATAGGAGGTCAGAGAACCCGTCCACAGCCTGTCATTTCTTAAATCTCTTCAACTTCAAATATTCAACACACCCACGTGCCAAGACACCATGAGCCCCATCGGACAGAATCATTAATTCAAGCTTTGTTCTGAAAACTCTAACCATGAGTTAGATGTTTCTAACCTTTCAAAGCTTAGAAAATCCAAACTTCTTAAGACCGTGACCCTGTTAAATTATTCTGATTCTTCTTAAGACAGGATAATGGCAATAGGTGTCCAGACTGTCGGATACGGGCACTGCCGTGCAGCAAAGACGCTGTGGATATGTGGCCACAGGTCATGGTCACGTGAGGCCGGTTCGGCCAGAACCCCTCCCGATCTGTTGATCTTACTGTACCCCAAACTTTAATACACTAGCTGTAACTGTTGCTGTGACAATATTGTAAACTGTTTGTGGGAACAGGTTCTACAATTGTCAACACCCGGCATGGTGACTGGTCCTCAAGATGTTTCTCAAATGTAAGGAAACTAAACACAAAGACATACATTTCCGGGAAACAAAATAATAGACAAGAAAGGGAGGGAGGGAGGGAGGGAGGGAAGGAAAGAAAAAGGAAAAGGAATTAAGTAAATTTAGACTATACTTGCTTGATTACAAGGCAAATAGAAAACTCAGGGAACTCATCAAGGATTTGCTTCTTGGGTCCCGAGGTCCCTCGCCAGATGGCCATCCACTCTGCACTTTTCGGAGTCTCCCCATGTTTGTTTCACATACAACGTCCAGTGGTTTTGGTTGTACTTAGCAGGAGGGACAAGGAAACCCACCAGGACTCACCCATCGTGAAGTGGATTGTTTGAATAGCCATAACTACTAAAGAAACTGATCCCATCATTTAAAACTCTCAAAAAAGAAATATTTAGGGCCAAATGGTTTTGGTAGGGAAAAATCTGTTATAAGATGGCTGACAGGATAGATAGGGAAAATTCCTATCCCTGACAGAAGACCCTCCTTCCGGGTTCTTCTTCCCACCCAGCTTGTCCCACGTGCTAATGAGGGATGTTAAATTGTTCCCTCTGCTTATGCTCCAGGCTGAGACCTCTGGAGAGTGATCTCCTCTGAGCCCACTGGTATAAAATAAACTTCCCGCCTTCCAAGATCTCCCAGCCCTGCTTGGTTCTTCTGCCAGGTGATCCAGACCCGTTTCCACAACAGTTTCATTGGAGACTTCTACCAAATGTCTAAAGAATAAACCCTGATCGTACACAATCTATTCCAGAAAACACAGAGGTAGGAACACCTCCCAAATCATTTAATAAAGTTTGTATTATCTTTTCTTTTAATGTTTTTTGTTTTTTGGTTTTTTTTGGAGAGAGAGAGGCAGCATGAGCAGGCAAGGGTCAAAAAGAGAGGGAGACACAGAATCGGAAGCAGGCTCCAGCCTCTGAGCTGTCTGCACAGAGCCCGACACGGGGCTTGAACCCACAAACCATGAGATCATGACCTGAGCTGAAGTCGTACGCTCAACCAACTGAGCCACCCAGGTACCCCAAGTTTGTATTAATACCAAAACCAGATAAAGAAAATATAAAACATAAAATTTTTTAAAAACCCACATATCAGGGCTCCCGGGTGGCTCAGTTGGTTAAGCAGCCAACTTTGACTCAGGTCATGATCTCGCAGTTCATAATTTGGAGCCCTACGTCGAGCTCTGTGCTGACAGCTCAGAGCCTGGGGCCTGCTTCAGATTCTGTCTCCCTCTCTCTCTGCCCCTCCCTGGCTCGCACTCTTTCTCTCTCTCTCTCTCAAAAATAAACATTAAAAAAAATACCACACGGGGCGCCTGGGTGGCTCAGTCAGTTGGGCGGCCGACTTCAGCTCAGGTCATGATCTCACGGTTCATAGGTTTGAGCCCTACGTCGGGCTCTGTGCTGACAGCTAGCTCAGAGCCTGGAGCCTGTTTCAGATTCTGTGTCTCCCTCTCTCTCTGACCCTCCCCTACTCACGCTGTATCTCTCTCTCTCAGAAAACAAAAAACAAAAAACAAAAAACCACACAGTCCTAATTGTTAGTACTATAAGTCTTGAAATCAAGTAAACTAATTTTCCTACTTTATTCCTGTAGCTATTTAGCTCCTTGCCTTTCCATATAAATTTTAAATTTAACATTTTTCCATATAAATTTTCTCTCTCAAAATAAACAAATAAACTTTAAAAAAAACCTACAGCTAACATTATACTTAATAATAAAAGACAGTGTTTTCCCTTTAAGAGCAGGAAGAAGGAAAAGATGCTCACTCTCCCTCTTATTCAGCATAATGTTAGAAGTTCTATGTGGTACATAAGGCAAGAAAAGGAAATTAAAAGGCATACAGATCAGAAAAGAGGAAACAGAACTGTCTCTATTGGTAGATGGTATGATTGTCTATGTAGGAAATCACAAGGTATTAAAAAACCTCCTAGAATTAATACAAAAGTCAACTGTATTTCTATATAGTAACAATAAGCATGTGGACACCTAAATTGAAAACCAATAGCATTCAACATCGTAGGGTTGAGATAACAGAGGGTGGTGAACCAAAGACAGTCGAAAACGAGACAAAGGAGCCAAGGGAAAGGGCTGAGCACACCTTTATCAAAAAGGGCTGTCGGGTGAGGTTCTGTGGCTTGAGGGTAGAAGCAAGCCAGGGAAGTTGCACCCCGAGACTGGGGAGAGGGGTATATATAGGACTGTAGTTCCACGTTGAGACCCGTGAGGGCAGATTTCCTTATTTGGTCTCACTTTCCTGGGTTGGGTTTCCATTTCTGCTGAGGTGACCTGTCTTCTGAGAAACCAGTGGTGGGAAACTGGGAGCAGGAAGCTGGTGGTGGGAGAGTCCTGAGGCGGTCATAAGATGGGATCCCATCTGCCATCTTGGTGTCTTTTTCCAGACCAGTCAGACCCGCCAGCTTGGTGTCCTTTCCCAAACCTGCGAGACCTATCAAACATCGCTCAAAAAATATGTAGGTGTAAATCTAACCAAATATTATGGAATTTGTATGGTAAAAACTACATTTTGTCAATGAAAGAAATAAAAGACCTAAATGTGTGGAGAGACATACCCTGTTAATGGATTGGAGAATTTGAAAAAATGGCAATTCTACCCAAATGGATACACAAGTTTCATGATATTCACCAAAATTCCAGAAGATAATTTGCATGAACACCAGTCTTGAATTTAAGATCCACCTTAATCCAGTAAGACCTCACTTTAACTTGACCACATTTGCAAAGACTCTGTTTCCAAATAAGGGCACATTCACCAGTACCAGGGTTAGGACCTCAGTATATCTCTTTCCAGGGACACAATTCAGTCCACACAATTAGACCACATCAAAATTAAAATCTCTTATTCTGCTAAAGACTCTGCTAAGAGGGTTAAAAGCTGCAGAATGGGAGAAAATATCTACAAACCACATATTCAACGAAGGACTAGTACCTTCGTTGAGAACTCTTAAAATAACAAAGATTCTTAAATCTTAAATCTTAAAATCTTAAAATAATAAAGAACTCTTAAAATAACAATTTAAAAAACCTAAATTATCTGACTAGAAAATGAATGAAGTCATCAAGAGACATTTTACCGAAGAGATGTATCAATGACAAGTATGTGAAAAGATGCTGTGATGGTTAATTTTAAAGATGCTTGACTAAACTGTGTTACCGGCTGAATCGAACCCCCCCCCCCATCACCATCAAATCCATATGCTGATGTCCTTTCCCCCAGGACCTCAGACTGTGACTATATCTGGAGATGAGGCCTTTAAAGAGGTGATTAGGTTACAATGAGGCTGTCTGGGTGAGTCCTAATCCAATCAGACTGGTATTCCTATGCGAGGAGAGAGTCTGGACACCCGGAGGTACCAGAGACACATGCACCAACGGAGGCCCTCTGCAGGCCAAGGACAGGGGTCTCTGGATAAACCAGCTTGCTAACGCTTTGTTCTTGGACCTCTAGCCTGTAGAACTGTGAGAAAATAAATTTCTGATGTTTAAGCTGCCCAGCCTGTGGTATTTCTTATGTCAGCCCTAGCAAATAACTACCCCATCAGACCCAGATATTTGGTCAAACACCAGTCTAGATGTTTCTGTGAAGGTATAGGTTAGATGACATAAACATTTAACTGAGCAGACTTTTTTTCAATTTTTAAAAAAAATTTATTTCTGAGAGAGAGAGACAGAGTGAGCAGGGGAGGGTCAAAGAGAGAGGGAGACACAGAATCTGAAACAGGCTCCAGGCTCTGAGCTGTCAGCACAGAGCCCAACACAGGGCTTGAATCCATGAACCGTGAGATCATGACCTGAGCTGAAGTCGGCCGCTTGACCGACTGAGCCACCCAGGCGCCCCTAACTGAGCAGACTTTGAGTGACATTGTCCTCCATAATGTGGGTGGGCTTTATCCAATCAGCTGAAGGCCTGAAGAGAAATAGACTGAGGCTGCCCAAGAAGGTGGGAATTCTGCCTCCCGACAGCCTTTGGCCTCAGACTGCAACACTGACTTTCGTGTGGGTCTCCAGCCTGCCCTAAAGATTTTGGAACTGCCGGCCCCATGATCATAGGACCAATTCCTTAAGATAAAGAATCGTTACGTACATATATTGTGTGGGTCCTATTTTTTCAGAGAGCCCTGGCTAGTACAGATGTGCAGTACTGTCAGCCATTAGGGAAATCCTCATTGAAGCCACAGTGAGCTATCACTGCGCACCTATCAGAACGGCCATCACAAAAAAATAGTGACCACATCTAACACTGGTGCAGGTGTGGAGAAACTGGATCTCTCGCCCAGCGCTGACAGGAAGGCGGAATGGTAGAGCCGCTCTGGAAAACTGTTGGGCAGTTTCTTAAAACAACTTAAACCGCAGGTTTTACGCAACCTCTGTCCTCCCTGGCATTTGTCCCAGAGAGATGAAGACTTGTGTCACTCAGAAACCTTCACATCAATGTTTACAGCAATTTTCCTCATAACAGACAAAAACTGGAAAGAGCCCAGATGTCCTCCAACGATTGAGTGTCACACAAGCTGTAGAGCCTCCATCCCTGAGTGGCGCTCAGCAGACATGAGGAATGAAGTCGTCGGCGACCTGTGGTAACTCCCGGGAGATGGGCCAAATGAAAAAAAAGTTCAATACCAAAATGGTACATACTGTGTGATTCCATTCATGTGATGTTCTTGACATGACAAGTTATAGACATGGAAAGCAGATTAGTGGTTGCCAGGGGTTGGGAAGGGGTTAGGGGTGGGAGTGAAGTGAGTGTGGCCACAAAGTAGGAAACAAGGGGACTCCTGGTGGGGATGGAAATGTTCTGAATCTTGACCGTACCAACGTCAATGTCCTGATTTTGATATTATACTATAGTTTTGCAACATGTTACCTTGGGGGGAAATGGGGTCTCTCTGTGTTCTTTCTTTCTCTCTCTGGTTTTTTTTTTTTTTTAAGAGAAAAAAACCCTTACATATAAGTTTATTTATTTTGAGAGAGAGAGAGAGAGAGACAGAGAGACAGAGAGAGAGAGAGCATGAGCAGGGAAGGGGCAGAGAGAGAAGGA